AACTTTTATGAATTTGTACACCATAACGTTTATGTGGCTTAATTGTGTGAGCACAAGTGTATATAAATGATCAGTATATTGAAATGAGTCGATTTAGCCATGTCCGTCTGTCTGTATACATATATGCGAACTAGTCAATTTTTAAGATATCGTTTTGAAACTTTGCAAACGTCATTTCTTCAAGGAGCTGTTTCTGGTATGGTTTATTGTATGGAAAACTTTCACATTTGACAACATATTATCTCGAAATTTGGTATAGATTACTTTCTGAGCCAACAATGTAATCTCCGAAAAAATTGTTAAAATCGGTTAACTATAGCATATTGCTGTCATACAAACTGAACGATAGGAATCAAGCTCTTGTATGGGAAACTTTTGCATTTGACGTGGTATCTTCACGAAATTTTACACGAACTTACTGCTTAAGGTAATAATATAATCTCCGAAAAAATTGTTCAGATCGTATTATTATAGCATATAGCTTCCATACAAACTGAACACGTAGTTACTAAAAGAAATGTACCTGTTAAGGGTATATTAGCTTCAGTGCACCCGAAGTTAACGTTTTTCTTGTTTATATTTGTGTTTTGTTTTTTAATTTTTATACTCTTGCAACCAGTTGCTACAGAGTATTATAGTTTTGTTCACCTAACGGTTGCACGTATTACCTATAACTAATCGAGATAAATATAGGGTTATAAACATGTAATTAAATGATCAGAATGACGGTAAAAGTTGAAATCCGATTGACTGTTTGTCTCTCCGTCCGTCCATCCGTGCAAGCTGTAACTTGAGTAAAAATTGAGATATCTTGATGAAACTTGGTACACGGGTTTCTTAGTACAAAAAAGTTCGAGTTCGTAGATGGGCGTAATCGGACAACTGCCACGCTCACAAATCGCCAGGGACACCTTTGGGGGAAAAAAAATTTTAAAAAGTGGGAGTGGCTCCGCCATCTAATAAGTTTAATGTATATATCTCCTAAACCACTTAAGCTACAGTACGAATATTATAAGAACTCCTACCAATATTGTGAAAGTGGACCAAATCGGATGAAAACCTCATTCACTCCCCATATAACGGTACTGTTAAAAACTACTAAAAGCGCGATAAATCAATAACGAAATACACCAAAGACATCAAATTTTACCACCGAGAATGATTTCAGTGACTTCAAACCAATTGGTGTTTATAAGTATGTTTGATAATAATGTTTTTGTTTTTGTAAGAAATATTTGCTTTTATTTTTTTATTCAAAATACTTATCCCGATTATTTACATGTTAAGATAGCCTCGTTTAGTGCTGTTTCGCATTAAGCGAGTCCTACCGCACTTCAACATTTTTTTATTTTCATTATTGATACATTTCCAAATTAAAAAAGTTTTTTTTATTATCTGTACAATTTTAGTTTTACAATAGAATGTTAACAAAAACATATTAAAGGATTTTACAAAACATTTTTAGTACACCTTACTATTTCCCTACACCCTTATTAGAGAGAAGACCATAAAAAAGATACAAACACATGTATTTGTATCTACAAAAGTTTTTAATTGCCTTCTTTTTAAAGTTTTATTAGTTAACTTTCATAATTTGTTGAAGAAGAATGAATTTTTGTGCACCATCAATCGTATTGCCATAAAAATCACTAATTTTTAAAATTTTATTGCTTTGCCGCAATTCGAATTCGTGGTAGCGTCTGTAATGGACCTTAGGTAATCAACAGGACAATAATTCGTACCCGGTTTTTAAGTAGTATAAAAATATTTTTTCGAAGAATGCGAATCGAATATAATTAATACAAACAAATTCGCGTTTTTATTGATTTCTTTCTAGTCTGTATAATTATTCCTTGAAATCAGGTAAACCGTCGAACGTGCAGCCACTACGCTGGATAATTTGTCTTGCTGCCCATATTCCTGAGCGTATACAGACGCTCAGTGGCTTCTTTTGTATGTACTGTGCCAAAAAACCACCAACGAATGCGTCACCAGCGCCATTTGTGTCGACGATTTCGTTAGGCTCTAAACGTTCTACTGGAAATTCTTCAATGGAATTCTCTTGTATGAGCAATACAGGTAAATGACCTTGTGTTAAGACCACTATACGTGGTCTATTGGAATTTTGTTTAGGTAAAGCCAACATTTTCTTTCCAATCTCTTTCATTTCCTTGTCATCCCAACCTTGAGCAGCTGCGAATGCTTCCGCTTCCTGTGAAAACAAAACAATCAATACAAAATTTTATTTCAAAAGGAACAATAGCCACCAATTCATTTCCGAAAAGTATATCCACGTAAGGTAATGCAGCCATTAAAGGTTCACTGAAAAATTGCGATAAGAATGGTGCACTCAAGTTCATAAGAAAAGTGCGATTATGTTTGTGCGCATGTTGAGCAATATGCTGAATGCTTGGCGGGCTAACCGTAAGGAAGAAACCCTGCAAAATTGATTAAATACTAATATGAGCACATAAATATAAAGAGGATTTAAGTAATACACCTACAGATATATAAAAATACTCGGCATTGTCCACGAGCTTCTGTTTTTCGGGTGTAAGCAAATGGTCTATGGTAAAATGATTGGCCGCAGCCAAGTTTGCACATAGCGAACGATGTGTGCCGGTAATAAGAACACCACAAGTACCAGTGGGCGCGTCTTTGGTGCGTTGATAATGTACATCCACGCCGTTCGATCGAGCTCGCTCATATAAGATATCTCCATAACTATCATGGCCAATGCAACCGAAGAATACAGCCGTATTAGGCTTCTGCAACATCCACTGACATACTCGTAATGAATTCTGCACGGAACCACCAGCAATAAATTCAGCATTATACTTCTCCACTAACTCTTTGTAAAGCGGCATATGCTTTTCAGCAGCCAATATCGCATCATTTGGTTTTAAATCGTACTTTTGCAGAAAATTGTCATCCACAGTTGCCGATATATCGAGCAACGGATTTCCGCACCCGACCAATATTCCTTTCCTGGAGAGAGAGATCTTCAAATAATTAGAAAACGAGATTAAAATATTTATGAGAACACTCAAATATTTACATTTGTGTGTACGAATGCAGTATAAACATTTTCGAAATTTAAAGTTTTTTTCAGGAAGATCGTTTGACGTAACGTAAGAAATCCCAATAAGTAAAGTTGAATGTATTGAAACCCCAATGGGAACATTGCATAAAATAATATCATATTCAGATTGAGCGGTTTATATACACATATACATACATATGTTGACATACATATGTATTATCGGATGTGGTACGGATACGTAAGTTGGTGTGATAATTTCCGGTTGTATATTACAAGCAAGATCAATTATCAGTCAATAATCAGCTTAATGACGTCAAACTAAAATTCCAAATCATGCCGAACATCTTTTGAACCAACTCAAATAAAGCAGTACGTCAACTATACATAATAATGACAAAACAGAAGTCAAATACTATAATATATAAAAGTGTAAGCTAAGTTTTGAACACAGCAGATTATATACATACAGACGTTTACATATAATTATTTATATTTATGAGCCCATAATTTAGAGATTATTACTTATCAGTTTACACATTTAACCTTCCAGTGGAAGCAAACAGTAATATATGAGAATCATGATAAGACCTAGTCATTTTACAATATCTATATGACAAACCTTAATTGCTCGCTCATTATGTAAATAACTGCAAATGTCAACCCTTGTGTAAAGTTTCAGTAGTGTCACAACCAAAGTGCCGAGTTTTTGTACACAAAACTTTATTAACAAGTTAAAAAAAATTATAGGTGAACTACGAGTAAACTGACCACCTTGACCACACGTTTACCCATGGAAGCAAGAAAACAATTAGAGGAAGCCGCTAAAAACACATGGCACTTGATGCTATCTTCATACCCATACTAATGAATATATAAACATATGCAAAGGGGTATATTGCTTGTGTTCAATTTGAATAGGCCCAACTGTCAAGCTTCTACAGAATATACATTTTATAGATATAAATATATGTTTTTCCGCGTAATTTAGTGCAGAGGCCAATTTCTTGATATACTAATTGTATATAATATATAAATGATATATTTTTGGAAGTAAATAAACATCGGTCACAATCCTAATTTACGGCATCCCTTAATCACTAATAAATGCTAAACAGATGGCAAGTTTGATCTACAACCATATGTTATTAAATGTCTCATTTTGTTCTAATACAGAGGTTACATGATGGAATTCATAGGAATACCGAAAGTATAATCAATAATTATTATATATTAATTAAAACGGAACCATTAAATCGCAATCATCTTTCAAATCTTCATTGAAATGATTTGAAACTGATCCAAGCTAAATCTCTCTGTCCGACTCTGATTTTGCGCAATCTACTTGTCAGCACTGGACATCTGTTACATTATCACAGCTGATTTAGACACTACAAAAAAAAAGGTAAACAAACAAATATTTTTAAAGCAATGAATCTAATTTCACCTGAAAATCCACTTAACAAATGAAAGAATGCATCCATTATTTCTATTATATGGAAAATATTAAAAAAAAGACGGCTTTGATTTCAAAATACTATATGAAAATAAAAGTTACGTTGTTGATTACGTCACAATAGTAGCAAAGTGCAATCCATTTCTTAATCGAGCACTTTCCGATTTATGGCAGCATTGCCATTAACCCTTGCTGGATAAACGCCACTGAAGTGTAATTTGACATTTCGGCTAAATGAACTTGGTTGCTAAATTGACACCTCCTTTCTTTCCGGTTGTCAAAAAGGTACGAAAGGAATGAAGATTTTTATGTGAAGAAAATACAAAATTTTATTGTATTTAATGAAGTGCATCATATTTATAGGGCATTTTTTGTTCTCTTATTTCAGTGCAGAGACGACTCATTTAGTTAAAAATGGCTGACGTTGATGTGTAAGTTAAAAAGTGATTGTTTATTTAAAGTCTTAGTAAGCCATAGTTTAGGAATCGGCAATAGCTTAGCCAATGCTATTTTAATTACTACTTAAGAAGTCTTTATGAAAGTATTCTGCATGAAATATTATGATTTTACACGTTCCGATGTGCTCAATGATACTATTTTTATAGTGATGTTCCCTCCGCTGCTCCAGTCATTGGTGACAAAATGGACATTAATACCGCCTTACAAGAAGTGCTGAAGAAGTCTCTCATCGCTGATGGTTTGGTGCATGGTATTCATCAAGCTTGTAAAGCTTTAGACAAGTAAGTTTTAGCAGTGTTTGCTTTTGTTTTCAACATTCGGAATTAATATTTATTGTTTATATGTTCAGGCGTCAAGCTGTTTTGTGTATCCTTGCTGATTCAATGGATGAAGATCTTTACAAGAAACTTGTTACCGCACTCTGCCATGAACATCAAATCCCTCTTATCCGTGTTGATTCACACAAGAAATTGGGTGAATGGTCTGGTTTGTGCAAGATCGACAAAGAAGGCAAGCCACGCAAGGTCAGTGGATGTGCTGTTGTGGTCATTAAGGATTTCGGTGAGGAGACACCTGCTTTGGATGTTGTGAAGGAGCATTTACGCCAAAATAGTTAAACGCACTGTGTGTGTCCTATTTTTAAAAAACAAACATAGTGATTTGTGGCAGTAAATGAACACGATATACAAAAGCCGTCGTGTTTATTTGAGCAGTAAAGTTCTTTTATAAATAAAAAATACTACAAAGTGAAAAAGAAGGAATTTTTATAATAAATTGCGATTTAGTAAAAGTGGTTTTTAGTTAAACGCGTAGTGATGTGTCTACACTTTTATGCAATTCCTTTTGTGTTGTGGCCAATCTTCCTGTTGACATTTTCTGCACAAAAAAAAAAATCAAATTATATATGAAAGTTATACAAAATTTAATAATATTACTTTGAACAGTAGTAAATGTTTTTACAATTGGCGCATTTTTTCACTGCATCAGTGGCACACATTTTACATTTCCTCGTTGTTACGCTTTTATTTTCAACGATAGTACTGGCTTGTGCTATTTCTGAAGTATTTCCTTCGATTTCTGCCAGCAAATCTGTATTATAAGCAGTGTTCAAACGTTTAGCTATTTCAAAGATTTTATCTTTATCAGTGCACAGAAATATTTCTTCTTGCTTTTGTGCTACAACAACAAATCCACCAATACGTTCTGCTTCAGCTATGAGCTTTTCTCGTATTTCTGGTAATTCTTCAAGTACTAAATTTCTTTTATGTTTCTGGTTCTCACTGGGATTTCCAGAAACACTTAAATTGCAAAGGTAATGCTTTAACTCAACCAATGGTGGGATTTGATCTAATAGAGTTTCTTGTAGGAGAGCCTGACACTAAAGTTACATTCGCATTTATATAATATTGAATTTTACAAGATTACTAATAATGTATGTCACCTTTGATAGATGTTTCCTGCGTTCCTCATTTAATTCATACGATGTCATCAAAGATTGGTTAAATAGCAATTGTTGTATGCAGAACCAACTCTGCGCCTCTTGTTTAGATATCTTCGATATATCGGCGCCCTCAACTGCAATCCATTTTTCATCTATAATAATTATAATTTTACTACGAATTATTTAATAATCAGTGTGAATGACCAATACCGATAAATCGTTCAATGCCTTTGTCGGTTCGTCTTTGCCATGGGCGGAACAATAGCAAATCTGCCATTAGCCAAGGTATATCGTGTGTGACTACCATGCGACGTGAAGCGCTTAACGGTATTGCATCAGCATGTTCTGCAAGGTAGCATAAAATTGATATGCAGCGCATACCAATCTTATAAATCAGATCGCGTTTCTGCCGCTCTAATTCTGTCAATACAGCCTCGTCAACGTCAAGTTTCGATTGGTTTTCATGATAGCCCATGCTAATTTGCGACAATAATAATTTAAAAAACAAATCGGAAAAAACTTAGTAGCGAAAAAATGTTATTTGTACCTGACTAAGCCTATTACTTGTGCCACCGCTAGTGCGCAATAGTCAATTAAATCAATAGCTGCATCCTGCAATGCTTCACATGCACTCACATGAAAAAGGGATGTATCCAATAGAGAAATTACAGCGCCTTCATGAAATAGTACCGTATAGATAAGAAAAGTCGCTTGAGGATTAGGGTCAATCTCAATTAAGTGTGGTAAGACACGAGTCTTCCACAAAAAAATACTGTAGGCTTCATGTATGAGTATCTGCCATGATAAATCAAAAATATAAATCTTTTAAGATGTTAATGGAACACGCCATCACCTTCAACTTGTCATGTGAAATAAGAAACTCTTTCACTTCCTCCTCACGATGTTCGCTTGCTTCGAGAATTGCTTGTTGACTTAATTTTATAATCATCTCATGAACATCCAACCATTTTGAGCTGCCTATATCAACCAATTGAAAAGGACGAATACTCTCAATAAAATAGGAAATTTCTTCTTTAAAAACAAAATTAGCCATAATGTCAGCACGTTTTCTGTTCCACAATCAAGTTTTTCTATTTTAAATATTAACAAATGACACTTTCTTCCCCCGTTGCTTGGTCGATCGAGTTTATTATTATGATTTTCTACAGGTTTCTAAGGTGATTGTGAAAATATTATGTTACAGCGAAGTGGTGAAACTTTTTCCGCCGAGAATAGGTTAACATGACAATTGCTCTTATTTATAGCAGAGAGATCATAGTTCTTACTTCATTCTTTGCAAAACTTTATACATGTATTTAAATAAATGTTAATAAATGTACAATATTATTTATTGTTTGGTTACATGCAATTATTTAGCAATCAATATATTTTCCAAGATTTCGAATCTATTTTTCACATTGCCATTTACATATATAAATTTAATAATTCGTCTTTAATATAATTTTACTAAATCATTCTGTCAAACAACTGTAAATATTGTAGACCTTTATAAACAATAAGCAAACGAATAAAACAAATACATACATATATAAAACAAAAAGTTTAGTACAAACATAAAAGTTAATATATCTGCATAAGATTCCTTGTGTTTAACTAATTCGCAAATGTTTGTTGTATAGCTTGCAAGTGTGTCACGCTTGTTGTTGGAACATTTGCTGCCTGAGGTGTGCCGGTAACGGTTGCATTCGATTCTGGTGCTGACTGTACATACATTTGTGGTGGCATAGGTGTTGGCTGTGTCGGATAAAGTCCAGCTGTTGGTTGCACTTGTGGATAAGTGGGTACTGTTTGAGCAGCTGGATATGATAATGCCATAGGTGCAGTCATATATTGTTGTTGTTGTTGAGTTGCCATTGAATACATCGGTACCGTTGCGGTTGAAACGTATGGTGCATTTTGTGGTAGTGCAGCCTGTGCAGACGGCAATTGTGGTGCTGCAACAACAGTTGACGTGGTTTGTTCGCTAGTTCCGGGTATAAACAAGCTCGCCGGTGGTGGGACATTAGAAACGTAGAATTGTAACGATTGTGAATTGGGAGCAGCAACAGGAGCAGGAAATTGGGTGCTAATAGAAGAAGCCATATTAGACGCGTTAGCTTGACCAATCTGTTGTGTCTCGGTAGTAGTTGTGTTATGTATTGTATCGAAACCACTACTGGCTGTTGACTGTATCGCATCTGGATTGAAATATGTTTGAAAAACACTTGGCTGTTGCGAAGCTGTTGTCGTTGCTGAAACCGCAATGTCTGCAGACCCAACATTTGCTTTTAAAACATCTGTTGGCGCATTAGTTTGTGGTTGTTTAAATGTGTTTGTTAAAGGAGGAACATAAGGCAGCGAAGGTGCTATAACTGGTGTTACGTTTGTCGAAATCGGTGGTATGGTGTTTGGCGTATTCGTTGAATGTACCGGTTCAATTGTAGTGGGAGCTTTGATTACAGAGGCCACTGCCTGTACTGGGATACGATGTAAATATCCATAACCAATTCCACAACCCAATGCTCCCTCACCTCCCCAATTAGAATTTGGTTTAATCGTTACCTCACGACATGCATCGTCATCAATATTGTAGACGTACATTTTAAGCGGTTGCTGTTCATGTGATTCGATTAAAGTAAACAAATCATCATTTTCATGTCGTATTGCATCCGCACCAATAACGTAATCCGAATATGCACGTAAACCAGCAATTTCAGCTGGTGAATCGGGATGTACTTCGAGAATGTGCCATACGTTTTCATTTGCACCCTCAAATGAACAAAAACGTATGCTCACACCTAACAAACCCTGGCCGCCCCAATTTTTACTAGGAGTTAATGTAAGTTCGCGCACTGTTTGTGTTTTACTTGAGTACACCGTTAATCTTACAGGCTTGTCAACATTTTGACGCAATAATTCCTTTAACATGTCGTTATCCTGATCAAGGCGTGTTCCAGCTATGGCTACAATAAAATCGAAAAAAGCTTCTAATCCTGCCTTTTGACCAGGAGAATTATCCTGTACCTTCAGTACATGGTATCCCTCAGTGCCACCGCCCGGAACCTCTACACTATGGCTTGAACCCATTTTGTTTGATAGAGAAGTGTGTAACTTCTTCAAGCTCTCTCACTACTTGGTGTTAAAAAATATAAGTTGATATATATTCTTTATTTGTTTTTAATAGTTCTAAATAAATTTATATAAAATTATCCACTATTCTGAAGTCTTTGCGTGGCACAATCAAATAATAAGCAAATAATTCCAAAATTTTCCCCTAAATGTCAAAATCAAATCTTGCCATACAATGAAAATCGTAAATAAAATGTATAATTAAATTAATTACAAAAACACATAATGTAATACTTGCAAGTTTTTAATCAGGAGTTCGACTTAATATAAAAATATATCCCAAAATAAAATTACTAAAATATACGAATTACTAAAGATAAGAATTAAAGTTCTAGAAATTAATTAATAAATTGAATCAAATTGTATTATTCCATCAAAACAACTTTATGACTTAAATATTAAATGCTTTTTAAGCCAATAAAATATTAATAAACCATAACAAATGAGAATCATAAAATATCAAAACGCCTATTAACAGTTTTGTATCAGTGGTATCACCAAATTATTGACAATCATTTGCAAATGACGTGTACCCTTGATAAAAGTAGTAAAGAAACTACCAGCTGATATATTAATAAAAATTCAACACAGAATATTATTATATACAAGCAAGCAACCATGTCACATAACAGAAAATGCACATTCAAGGGAACTAAATGCAAGTTTTATAATTAACCAAAATTTAACTTCACAATCATCATCAGTTTTGAAGATAATCAAAACCCGAACGGAAATCATAAATGAATAACAGCAGCACAACGTAAAATGTCCGTGAATAGAAAAAGCGCAAATCTGAAATAAAATCTTTTTGGGTACTAATTTGTAGTCTTCATATTAAGAAGCATCGAAAAACACACTTTGAAAAGAGAAATACACCATGCAATGAGAATATCTAGGAAAAGGCTATAAATATACACAGATAATATTTTCATACGAATTATAGATATTGTAACGGATTTCTCGGAGGATGGAGTCATATGTAGAAGTTCACGCAAGTGAGGAAAGTTTTCTGATCGCCATTCACTTGGGAATGGCCAGAAACGATTCTTTTACATATGACTCAAGCAGCTCATGACTTCCGGTCCTTGACCAAGTATCCTCTGGGTAGCCTAAGAACATCCGTTTGAAGGTGAGCTAAAGTGAGAAGGCGAAACATTCCCTGCATAGGGTTGTGCGCTGGGTTTGGGACCCGAAACGTAAAAAAACCACTCCAATGACAACGCAACAACAGCCTCGGATGAAAGACCCCACTTTTGATGACGACTATGGCAAACGAAATAAGGACTACGATTTGAGGGCATGCACCTGGAATGTCCGGTCCCTTAATTGGGAAGGTGCCGCTGCCCAGCTGGTTGATGTTCTCGTAACAATAAAGGCTGACATCGCCGCCGTCCAAGAAATGCGATGGACGGGACAAGGACAGAGACGAGTAGGTCCTTGTGGCATTTACTACAGTGGCCATATAAAGGAGCGCAAGTTTGGTG